ATTTTTTGGTTAAATTAGTTATTTGAATTCCAGCAGAAATAATTTAGATTAGATTATATCGGTCTGAATTTTATAAATTTTGTTCAAAAACTTACGAAAGCGTATTTATTTTCTAAACATATTTTAAAATGTAAATTTACTATAATTTTTACTTCATTATTAACTATTTACTGGGTATAGTATTACTTATAAATAAATAATCACTAATAAAATACACAAGAACAAGATAACTAAACTGAACAACTACTCGACATCATAAAATAAGGTTTTTAATGCATAAAGCTGAGATATAAGGTTTAAGTGAGGTTAGTTACATATACAATAATGAAAACATACTAAATTTATGAATGAAAATATGAGAACGGAAATCGTAATAACTGTCAGTCGCTAACAAAATGGTGGAAATATGGAAGACGCGGGAAACGTAGCTTTCCCTACTGATTGCTTGTATACTGTGATGGAGACTACACGAGTCACGAGTCTAGTCTCCCCGATCTGATAGATCGACGCACTTAGCAGTCTAGCACAGAAAGATTGCCTTGTTTTATTTTGTTATTTACCTGAAAGCTCAGTTGATTTTACCTATACTCCACGGTCGAAATTATAGAGAGTGATTCATCGCTAGCTTATGGACTAGTAAGGGGGATGAAGCGTGCCGGGAACGAAAATCCATTGGCGTATCTGCGTAAAAGGCAATAAGATATAGAAAATAATGAAAAAAGATAATAAAACATGACATATAATATTTTTTACGGTTTGCTGTATCAGGCACTTTGATCCATTTTAATTATTACAGCATTTTAAAACGTCCCAATTGTGTTTTTTTTTTAATTTATAAATTTATTATAGCCATGGAATTAGACCCCTCGTCTACGCTTATGCTATGACGTTTCTCAGGCCGGGTTAAATCAAGTCCGTTTACACCCACTAAAAAAGCATGTCCCTATTCGCTACCAAGTGCAAAAGACAGAGATGGAATATAGATCGACGTTCAGTGTAACTCGGTCTCTAGACGATTATAGATTCTATCGATGTGCGTAGCGAGCGGCACAAAGATAAATAATATTGAACCGTATAAAAATCATTTTATATTTTATACGCATTATGGTAATAGTGTTTTTATATTATGTCTTAGTCACTCTTTATAATTTCAACCGCGGAGTATAATAGACATCAGAAGTCAGAATATTTTTAGAATAAGTGACTTTTTAATGCAAGACACGGCCAACTAGGACACGGTTTTTTGACGTCAAAACAGCTAATTGGTAGCGAAGGGCACTAAATTCAAAAACATTTTCACCTGAAAGTAAAATTGTATGCTGTTTATAGCCTTAAAATATATTTTTTAAATAATTTTCTTAACTTCTCCCTTAAAATAAAAATCCCAATTAGGAATAAACCTCGCGACAAGCTTTCAAATCACATAACAACTTGAACATACTAATCAAGGAGATCGTCTCCATGATACTAATTACCATGTTTATAGTGACAACTCCACTTAGGAGCCAAACTTTGTAGACCATTGATGGTTCTGAAATGAACAATATTCTGCATTTTGCAAACAAATAAAGTGAAAACATGTATCAAATATTTATTTTACTTTAATAAAAATACAGAATAACTTGCAATATAAAATTTCACATTAATTTAGGTTCCTTTAATTCTTCCCCAAAAAGCACTTTCAGAGATGCAACTTTTGCAAGTCTTGGATGTTTTCTATCTTGTAACCTGAAAACAATATTTTGAAATATTCGTTTTGAATGTCAAAGCAAATACCTTTTCACATATCCAAATTAAATCCGTCTTCTATTTTATCATATTTTTTTCCCGTCAATATAAATTGTAAATGAAATTTTAAAAAGTTCATTTATAAACTCAAGTTGAATTTGTGTTTGTATTTAAATAAAAAAAAAAGTTTCCGCATCACAGCTTATGGCAGATTGGGATTCTTTATCATCAAATGGTGAATATAAAAACCAAAAACCTACTCATTTCACGAACATGTAGAATAAGCCTTGCAGCAAATCCAAGATACTCTTCTTTATTTTTCGCTTTCTGAAATACATGATTCTCCATTTCGATACTGTTTCTTGATATGTTCATTCCAGACTGACGAATTGCTTCTTCTCTAAAAAATAGTGATATAATGACCAACCAATTTCAATAATTAAATAAGTATTTTAATTAATTCTTACTAACATTTTGTTAACAACACATTGCCTAAATGTTTTGGATCTCCAAGAATCAGAGTTAACTGTCATTTTAGAAATATTACAAAACAAAATATAATTTAGGGATCAGTATGTTTAGAAAAAAAAAACAATATCTTGACAAAGAATAATAACTAATTTTCTATTTGGAGAACACTTCGTTTAATTTTAATTTTATATTTCACGAAATTATGTGCAATTTCCTTGCTCTATAAAGTACAACAGCCACACCCAACAGGCACCCAACCCATAAGCACAGGTTCTATTACCACATAACTTATGTGCTTTTACAATATTACATGTTTTGATTGTTTCGTGGCACACATTCCGGAAACCAAAGAAACAAGAAACAACTATTCCGTAATTTGTACCCCCCATACCCTCCTTGCCCCTTCCATCCCTCGCTAGCCAAGGAGCTGCCTTAGCAAAGTGCATCCCAGGCTGCATAGCCGCACTACCCTGCCCAACCATACCACACATAAACATGACACCACCCCCGAGGTTTACACAGACGAGCCGGCGAAGCAAGAGCGCCAGAAGAAAGGGCCCTAGCCGGCGGGGCCCAGCCAGGACAAAAGGAGGTCCCACAAAGCGTCTACACCGGCCACATTTGCGGTCGGGGTAGACGATGGATGAGGCCCACCTACGAAGGCTGTCCAGGCCTACATAAGAAGAGGCAGGATAAAGAGGCATAATCCCCCTCGATCTAAAATCATTGAGGCAAATTTCTCGCCATGGAATAATGGCGCGTAGCACAGAAAATTGCTTTGTTTTATTTACGTGAAAGCTCAGTTGATTTTACCTAATTGACTAATTACAAGTCAGGTCAGAATATTTTTAGAATAACAGATTTTCGTTAATCCAATCACAGTCAACTAATTTAATTAGTGTACTGTAAATCCGATCAGATATCAGATTAAAAAACAATCCATCAAGTATACCAATATTACCAATACTAAAATATATAATGCACCAAACACCAACGCTAAACGCTACCAACAATTTCTAAAGTTCAGTACAAAACGTTGAACATAACCTACAAAATTTTGTGTTCAAGTAAAAAATTTTCATATATATTGATGTTAATATATTGAATAATGTTTTACCATGTAAGTGTGTTACTGAGGTGTATCTTTTTATTTATAAATCTTATTTTCCGTTTCAGATATCTTTAGAACATGAAATTTTGTTACACCCTCAATATTTTGGACCTCAACTTCTAGAAAAGGTCAAAACTAAGTTGTATACGGAAGTAGAAGGAACTTGTACTGGAAAGTAAGGTTTAATTTCTTAGTAGACTTTTGCAAAATATACTTTACTTTTTTTAAGATATGGATTTGTTATTGCTGTTACTACAATCGATAGTATTGGAGCAGGCCTAATACTGCCTGGTCAAGGCTTTGTTGTATATCCAGTAAAATATAAAGCTATAGTTTTCCGACCATTTAAAGGGGAAGTGTTGGATGCTGTAGTAAGGCAGGTTAATAAAGTAGGAATGTTTGCTGAAATTGGGCCTTTATCTTGTTTTATATCCCACCATTCAATACCTGCAGAGATGGAATTTTGTCCCAATGTAAACCCCCAATGTTACAAAACGAAAGATGAGGATGTTGTTATTCATGCAGAAGGAGAAATAAGATTAAAAATCGTGGGAACAAGAGTGGATGCTTCTGGCATTGTAAGTATATTTTATATATTTTTAACATTAAACTATTATTTGCAGTAGTTTGGTAATATATTTGTTCGTAATTGATTTTTTCCCATCTTTGTGAAAACCTTTATTATAAGATTCATTATTCTTTGTTTTATTAAATTTCTCATATTTCTATTTCAGTTTGCTATTGGGACCCTTATGGATGACTATTTAGGTTTAATAAGTAATTAAGTTTTTTTATATGTACATTTTATATTATATTAAGAAAATAAATAATTTGATTTGTATTTTTTACTATTACCATTAAGTAGGTTATATAAAGTCGTTAGATACTCACTTTTTCATATTTCTACTTATAATCCGCATTTTAAAAAATGAAATAAAAATCATCAAAATAACGATTACCTTTACTTGATGATTTTAATATAAATATTCATAAAAACTACTTTTAGCACTGCTTTTGAAATCTAAAACAGTATCTAATGTTGTTGGTTGGTTTCACTACAATGATAAACCTGAGACACTATAGAGGTCCTCCGTTATTAATGACCGCTATTTCTTCTTCAGTCAAAGGCCGTCTTTTCCACCTCGATGGGATTTGGAAATCCCATAATGCTTCTCCTGGCTGTTGGTTTTGGTGATGCTGAATAGATCCAGCTGAAGCTGGAGTAGCAGCTGATGAGGTTTGTTGATCTCTTGCTGGACCATATCTGAATTTTATTAATCTTGCCCTTAATTTTGGAGTTAGTGACAGCATTCTTGTAATGTTGGATTTAAACATCGCGAATTTAAACTGGTTTTTAATGAAACAACCAAGAACACAAGCACAAAAAGTCTGATTTTGATTAGTTTGTAATTAGGTTAAATTTTTTTTATATGTATTTATTTTTATGTAACACGTATTGCCAACACAATTCTCAAAATAGTTCGTTTATTGCACAAATGGACCTACAGAGCATAGATAATTTATCAGAATACAGACACAGAACATCTAGTAATGTTTATAAAAATTTTGAAATTCAAGGAACACAAATTATAAAGAACTATTTTAGGGTTGCCAATATGAAAACAATTTGTCAAATTTGATTTGGGTGTCGATCGTGAAGCTCTCTGCTTACCTTACCAGTATCCAAGGATAATACATTCAATATCCAGTACCAAGGATTTTATAAAATCCTTGCCAACTAAAAAATGACTGTCTTACAAATAACAAAATTGCTCACATTAGCTGTGTTTATTGACCCAGACATAAACATAAAAAAAATCTAGGCTGTCAGCAGCATATGAGGGCCTTTCGATTTGGCAAAAATAGTAGCTAATAGCAACTTAGAGTTACTCTGAACTGATATTAGTTGCTAATAGGTACTATTTTAGCCAAAACGAAAGCCTCCATGGTCAGTAGCTCCAAAAGTTAAATCCTATTACTCCTATTAGTATTAGTGATTTTAAATCAATTTCAGAGATGTCGCGCCGTTCGTTGTTCTTGCCAATACAAAATGAAATACTAGTCTTCATAAGATCGAGTATTTTAAAATTCGTCGTTTAAGTTGCACAGGCACAGGTCGACAAATTAATTATTGTTACTTGACTCACGTTGGCTGAAAGTCTCCAAACCTTAGTAAATAACTACTTTTAGGGACCATAATAGCCATATTCGAGTGACTATAGTGGAATCTAGATTGTTTCAAAATTTGTGCCCTGACACTTCATTTAATTTCAAGAACGACTTTGGAGATTTTGATTTAATTTTGCCTAATTATTTATTTCGCAAATAAATGGAAGTTAGTTTTGACGAGCTTTTATAATTATTTTTATGCAAACGTCGTTGCCAATCGTGAATCTCTGTACATGAAGATATGTAGGTACGTTAAAAATTTTTTTTTTAATGTAGGGTAAAAAAATTATCTAACTGTGATACTGCTGTTTTTATTAATGCAAGACACGACCAACTAGGACACGTTTTTTTGACGTCAAAACAGCTAATTGGTATTAGCGATTTTTTTTCCAATAAACAGATTACGTATTCTCATTCAGCATCCCTTAAAACGTCTTATCGTAAAGTTTCATCAAATTCGATATGTCTTCAGACAAGCTCTCAATGATGAAGTTGGGTGTATATTGCATTAATAAAAACAGCAGATCACAGTTTTTTTTACCCTACATTCTAAATAAAAATTTTGAAATCGGCCAAAAAATAAAAGTTACAAGTTTGTATCACAATTAAACGCGATAACATGGAGTGCTCGCCTGAAGATGTATCGAATTTGATGAAACTTTGTGATGACGTTTTAAGGAATGTTAAATAATAATACGTAATGTTTTTTGGAAAAAAATCGCTAATACCAATTAGCCGTTTGGACGACAAAAAAACACGTTCTAGTTGGCAGTGTATTGCATTAATAAAAACAGCAGTATCACAATTAGTTTTTTTACCCTACATTTCAAAAAATAATTTTGAAATCGGCCAAAAAATAAAGGTGTTACAGGCGCTTACATCACATTTAAACGTGACTCCCTGTATGTATTCTGAAAAAATTTGTGGAATATTTGGCTAAAATCTAATTGTATTATAATTTATTTTCAGTAAATTTAGATTTCCGTATATTTAAAAATAAAATCTCAATTTTTTTCAATTTTTTTGTAATACACCTGTTAAACACTTTTGCACCAAAAATATAAAAAATTAGGAAATATCTTTCTGATAAATCAATTAGAATTTTATTATAGGGAAAATATTTTATTTTTTAATATTGACTACTTCAATATGGAAATTAAATTAGAATTTGGCCTCCTCAAAAAATAAAGACGTTGCAATAATTAGAATTTCAAAAATTTCCATGAAACTGTAAATTTACAATAATTATTTATTCACATGGGTTTATATAATAATTGAACCAGTTGACAAACGTACACTTACCTTTTCATCTTATAGTTTCAATCCAAATGTAGTCAAATTTCCAAGAATCCAAAGTTTCCGCCAAGGAGTACGAGTAGGAACGGAAGGTATTTGGAAAATCAACCGAAATAATTTTACTGAACTTTTATTAAGCAACATTAGTAGGAACGGAAACAATATTATTAGTTAAACCTTAAAAGTAAACGTAAAACTTAATTATGAACAACACCTTAACCTAATTTTATTAAAACGCAACGTTAGAATGAACGACAATGAAAGTGTTATGCCACAACTCAAGATATTGACTTACCCTAAACAAGTAATAATACTTTTATATGTCAAAGCGTATGAAACATTATAAACTGGGTGAACACTACACAGTAACACTACATCCTTACATATTATTAGCTAAATAACTTTTATCTTTTGCTATAAATTTATTCTCAAAGAAAACAACTCATCACAGAAGCTAGTGGATTAATTCTGGGAGAGTTTCGTTCAAAAGCGGCCCAATTCGGAAGTATCTGATGTTTGATATGGTCTTAAACAGTCTCGACAAAAAGCACTTCGAAACAAACAAAATTCCCTATCGCCGTATGTATTTTTTTAATTTGTAACACCCCTAGTTGCCAATTTAAACTAGTTCGATTAAGATACACAACTGACTCTTTAAAACCAAATTTACACTTATACTTGTAAATTTACATTTAGCAAATGTCGGTTTACATTTAATGTAAATTGACCTTTAGCACAATTTGGACAATGTAAATTTACAGTCATACTTATTAATTATAGGGAAAATGAAAATCTGTTCGGGAAAGAAATTATGATTTTGGTCTTATTAACTAAAATAATTAGTGGACAGATTACATTAAATGTAAATTTATTGTTACATTTGCCAATTACATGAAAAATAAAAAACCCGTTCAGAAAAGGTATTACGAATTTGGTAATTTTTTAATTAAAATAATCAATGGACAGATTACATTTAACGTAAATTGATGTTTAGTAACTGTCGATGTACAGTCAATGTAAATTTACAGTCAAAATTGCCAATTACTTGGAAAATAAAAACCTGTCCGGAAAACATTATGAATTATGAACACATTTGGTAATTTTTTGTTAAATAAAATAATTACTACATTTAATGTAAATTGACACTTAGTAATTGTGACTTACGTTTAATGTAAATTTACAGTCGCAATTGCCAATTACATGGAAAATGAAAAAACCGGTTCGGAAAAGGAAATATGAATTTGGTAATTTTTTGCTAATTAAAATAACTGATGGACATATTACATTTAACGTAAATTGACGTTTGGTAAGTGTCGATTTACATTTAATGTAAATTTACAGTCAAAATTGCCAATTACTTGGAGAATAAAAACTTGTCCGGGAAACAAATTATGATTTTGGCAATTTTTTGTTGACTAAAATATTGACACTTAGTAATTGTGATTTATGTTTAATGTAAATTTACAGTCACGATTGTCAATTACATGGAAAAGAAACCAGTTCGGAAAAGGAATTATGAATTTGGTAATTTTTTGTTATCTAAAATAATTAGTGGTCAGATTACATTTAATGTAAATTGACACGTAATAATTGTGATTTACGTTTCATGTAAATTTACAGTCACGGTTGCCAATTACATGGAAAAGAAAAAAACGATCCGGAAAAGGAATTATGAATTTGGTAATTCTTTGCTAATTAAAATAACTAATGGACAGATTACATTTAACGTAAATTGACGTCTAGCAAGTGTCGATTTACATTTAATGTAAATTTACAGTCAAAATTGACAATTACTTGGAGAATAAAAACCTGTCTGGGAAACAAATAATTTGGTAATTTTTTGTTAACTGAAATAAATAGTGGACAGATTACATTTAATGTAAATTGACACTCAATAATTGTGATTTACGTTTAATGTAAATTTACAGTCACGATTGCCAATTACATAGAAAAGAAAAAATCCGGTTCGGAAAAGGAATTGAGTTTGGTAATTTTTTGCTAATTAAAATAATTATTGGACAGATTACATTTAACGTAAATTGACGTTAAGCAACTGTCAATTTACATTTAATGTAAATTTACAGTCATAATTACCAATTAGATGAAGAATAAAAACCTGTCCGGGTAACGAATGAGTTTGGTAATTTTATTGTTAACTAAAATAATTAGGAGTGACAATTTTGCAGTGTGTGTGTGTTCATCAACTAATATTTGTACCGTCGAGAGCGCTCCCACCCTTAAACGAAATTTCCCAAAATTTGTTCCATAGCAGAAGCACAAATCCATATTATCAGTCGTCCCAACATTTATACAAAAAGGCAGCACTAGGCGGTTGTTTCATTGATATAAACATTACACGATTACACTTTTTTTCTCTTACAAAAAATGTTCCAGAGCAATCAATATCGAACGAATTTACAGAGTGCAGTTTTCGACGCCGCCCGGGAGCGATTCCGTCAAGAAAACGCCCCCCCGGGCGGGTCGTAAGTGACTTTGATTTAATTTGTGTAATTCCTATCTAATTCGTTTCACTTCCAAGTAAGTAACAAAGGAGCGCCAAGCGTAAGTTTGCTCATGCGGGAACATCTAGAACAGTTTGATTACATCGGCGCGACTCGGGCTCTTTGTTAACTGATCTTACCTGAAAGTGAGTTTGTAGATCGTTAAAAAATAATTTCTTTATATTTTTGTAAATACCTAGCTACGTGAAAAAGTGCGCAAATCAGGTTAAAGCTTTACTTTTATTACTTAGTCCACACTCGGCTAAAGCTAGCTGGTCATGTTTAAACACTTTGTATATTTACTATTTTAAAGTTAACTTTTCTCCTTACAAACTAAAAAACTAAACGATAGATTTAAAAACTTTTTACACAAAAGAGAAACTCAGGGCAATTAAAAGGTACACCTTTAGTTTGGCAAATACAATATAAAAATACGGCTAAAGTAAGAGTAAAAAATATAAGTATTAAAAAACGAAATAATCACAAAATTCCTTCAGTCTAAAAGCAATACTTTTGAGAAGAGAAATGGCTACCGATAGGTCTTCTCAGTTGATATATCAAAATCTTGAGTGTTAAAGTCTCAAGACAGTTTAATAGAAGCAGATGATATTATTACATGTAAAAATGGAACTACGTGTTCAACTTTTAACCAGACGATGGAGCCATTTTGTTGGCGATGATGTTCGCCTTGTTCTGACGGACCGCCTCGGCACGCTTCTCCTAAAAGGCAAACAGTCATAAATCCAAGGGATAGGTATAGGATGCAACTTTAAGTGGAGGCCAATTTTTAAAGGGTACTAGGACGTGTTCCCCAGAATACTAACCTGAAACACATTTTTCTGCACTTAAACTCTTGTCTACGCAACCACTGGGCAAATCCCAAACACAGTTGTACGTGTACGCTTATCAGTGTTGCCAGTTGTTACCTTTTTAAACAAACTGTACGAAACTTAGTGACAGAGAGAGAAGCTGTAAATTTTGTAAAAACAGATGTTTTTGACCTTTACATTTGCATTCATTCCTCTAGGACTAGAACGCCCCAATCCAGTCACGCGTGCTTTCGCGTGTGCTAACATTAAGTGGTGCCTAAAAATAGTAACACTTCGATCACGTGATTTTAACCTATACCATGCCACGTAAGACGAAAAGACTAGTAGTCTAAATGCGAAACCGCACACTTTCCTGTGCAATAAATGTGGCTCGTGGAGTTTTGAGAGTTTCAACAGTTTTTAGTACGGTTTTGCTTAAAATGGAGAAAGTAATTAAAAAAGGCAAATTAAAAGTGGCCTTATGCTTATTCGTGTCTAAATATGTCAAATAACAATCGAAAAAGAATGTGTTGGGTAAAAACGATATAAATGTGGGCATATCCCATTAATACATAAATTACGTGACAATTTTATCCCGAGACTATTTGAGAATGGATGCCGACTCATTTCAGATTTTGTTGGATTTGGTTTTGCCAACTCTTAAGCAAGACAAAACTTAACACTTTAATTTGTTATACTTCTTTATGTCTTGATTCGCTCAGGTTTATCACTGGTAAAAAGTAAAACGCAACTAAAGGAATAACTACGGGTGAAAAGTCTGCAGGATTGAAGACGTACTAGAACCAAGCAACTAATTAGACTTTACATTGGCACGCTTGCCGTTTTTACTGGAACGGGGCGTTTCAGTCCTAGAGGAAATAATGCAAACGTAAAGGTACCTAATGTGAACAAAACGTCAAACTTTAAAAAAAATTTCAAGTGTCCAAAAATTTGTGTTTTTCATGATTTTAAAAATATTTACAAATATTGATACGTGGATAGACATAAGTTGCTAATGTAAATAACACAGTTTTAAAATAATCAATTTTGCTCTTATAAAATGTAAATTTGAAATATTAAAAATTTTTTTATAAAAAATATTTTTTTACTTTTTTTTTTCCTAAAAACAGTGTGTATAGTCTGTTAATCTTAGTCTCAACAACCTCTGACACTGACTTTATTTAGGTGAACAACACCTCGCAACGAAATTATTGCAACAAAATTTTTCATTGAAAATTATGCCATTTTTCTAACGCGCATAGCTCCCATCAGTTTTCATTGTATCAAGACGATTTTTTTTTTATTTTGTAGGTAATTACCTGTACTTTAAAAAAAATATATGTATATACAAAATGTATGCGAGTCAATGCTGCATCTCCATGTTCTGACAAAGCGCAAGGATTTTTTTCTTAAAAAATTTGATTGTTTGACGTGTTAACCCAGATCTCAACATCAAGTCTCTACAGTTATTGTTTTTAACCGAGTTATGACATTTTGAAGTTATTCGTATGTTTTTAAGGAATACCGCACGCATCAGCATTACCCGACACATGTCGTGACAAGGTTATTGGTTGGACTTTGCGCATCATTTTGGCCCTGAAAGGGGCCGATTATATTAACCATGTGTCAAATTAGGGACACCATAGCTCAACACTGTCACAGTATTTTCTGATTCCAAACCTTTGGAGGTTAGCAGGAAGCCTCTCCAAGTTACGTAATCTCCTACCCATCATACCCATAGATGCTCAATGAGATTGAGGTCTGGGTTGTTAGCTGGATGAGGCAGTCTATATTGTCTACTTTCAAGTAGTCACGAGTTACCCTTGTAACATGGGTGTGTATTACCCTGCATCAAATAGGGTATGGGCTTTTTAGGACTAGAATGATGCGTAAAGTCAAACCGGTAACCTCCTTGCGGTATGTATCGCGTAATGTTGAAACTGGCGGTATTCGTTAAAAATGTACGAATAACTTCAAAATGGCATAACTCAAATAAAATCATAGACTTACATTTTTTTTTCAAATTGCTTATTAGAAAGTAAACTTTATGGTCCATGTATTATTTTCGAAAAAAAATCGGGGCGATCCAGGTAATGTGTCAAGCAATCAAATATTTTAAGAAAGAAATGCTTGGGCTTTATCAGGACATGGAGATGTAGTATCAAATCGCATCAATTTCACATAGATTTTTTCTTAAAGCACAGATATTTACCTACAAATTGAAAAAAAAGTTGTCTTGATATGATGAAAATTGACGGATCTGCATGCATTAGAAAAATGGCAAAATTCCTTTGAAATATTTTGTTGTACATAATATCAATCCACCTGATGTGATATGATAATCGGGCAGGTAACAAACATATGGCCATTTGGCAAGAAAAAATGGCCAAATCTCAGTTTAGTTTTCAATTTATCCGTTTGTAGATGTGTAATAAAGTAATTTCGCAACATTCTGCACGAAGTATTAGTTTTTACTGGAATATAAATAGAATTTGTACTGCCTTTTATTTCATAGCAAAATTGAAAATGGTACTTAGCGAAACGTCTGATATAGTGTAAGTTATTTATTTTAGCGTTTAATGAAGCTAACGTGTGTTTGTGTGTCTTCATTGTCAAATTTCTGTGTGCTATAAAAAACATATACCAGTTAAAAAAGGTGAGATTTGACAACAATGTATGCCACAGCTCTCAAATGAATATGCGCTCGTGGTGAGTGCAGTTATTCGAGTTTACACTAACCTCTCCAGTGGTGGGGTACAAAAATTTTCAAAAAAGGTCAAAAAAATCAGTTTTTACCACATAATTTGAGATAACAAACTTATATGTGCTTTTAAACCCTCCAAAGGTAGTCTCCGTATAAATATGGCCCCCATTCAAAGTTACACCCTGTATAACAAAATATTTGCAGAAGTACTGAGTTGTTTGATAAATAAAAAAAAGTGTATTTGAAAGTTTCCTGAAACAAAAGTTATAATTTTGAGAGAGTCACTGTTCATCTATTTTGTTGTGCTACGTAAGAAATTATAACTCACTTATAGAAGAATCGCAAAAACATCTAACTATGCAAATTTATGACATCCTAATTAAAATTTAATGTTTAGAGAATCTATTTAAAAATAATACAACAAATATATTAGCTCGTACGCAAAAGCCAGCTGCTACGCAACGTAAGTGTGTTAAGTGTGAAAGCGAAAAATAAAGTAGGTAGCGGGATACATACATTCTCCTTAATCTTTTCTAATTTACGCTGCAGCTCCTGCTCCCTCTTTTGCTCGGCTGCGGTAAGCTTAGTCTCTAATTTAATAACTTTTTCAGTCTTACGGTTCTCCTCCGTCGTTTCTATGGATTGCTTGACTTCTACCATATGCTCGTTCTAAATGTGGCAAAAGAATTATGATGAAAGAGTGCCAACGAAACCTTGTGTGTGTATACACAGAACGGGCAAATATTCCAACGCGCAAGTGAATTTCAAATCGGCATGGAAAAATGTTATTGAAAGTACAAAAAAAAAAAAATTTTTATGACTAATCTGGACTAATTTAAAAAAACATAAAGTGTTCACGAAATTAGTCGAAAAATTCACAATATTTGTGAAATGTCATGTTTATTGACCAATTTATTGGTCAAGTTTAAAGCAACTAACTTTTAAAATAAAAATCAATCATGATAACAGCAAACAGCTAATCATAATGAACATAATTGATGCCAATAAAAAATCAAGAACAAACACGTATATGTAACTCAAGTGAACGTAATTATTGAATGAATATCATTAAAAATCAACAAAATTGACCAATAAATTGAAATCAGTTCTAATGTCTCCAATTTCTTGGCCAATTTATTGAACCTAGTAAATTAACCAAAATGTTTGTGCATATTATGTATGAAAATAACTTGGCCAATTTCTTGGTCAATTTATTGGGTGAAAAACTGAAAAACATAAAACGAATCGTTACTACGCTAAACATATAAAAAAAGTGCAAACTGTAAAAAAAACTGGAATATTTCATTCTTAGTAAAATAATATTGGTGATATTTACGTGTTTCTTGGCAATCTCTAGCTTTTTTTTGATCTCCTGCTCTCTCTTTTGCTCGGCGATAGTGAGTTTATTCTCGACAAGAGCCGCAACCTCAGTCTTACGCACCTCCACAGTAGACTCGACGGACTGCTTTACTTCTAATGGCCGGTTATTCTAGTTAAAAAACAAAAAAGAAGCATGCTAAGTGATCCTCTACAAGCGGAGATGACTGGGACGGTGGATTATTTTAGATAGTGCGTACTTCTTTACCGATGTTCAGAGAAATCAGCATCGATGGGAAGGACAAATAACACAGGTCAACATTTGATCTAGGGACAATCGTCATAAGTGACCATTGTAGTATATGGTTTTTTTTTGGGTCGCTGATCACGAATCCAGTGTCGGTTAAACTCCATTACATCATGTTCAAGGTGATTTGAAGGTCAAATAAAAAAATGACCCCCAAAAAATCAGAAAAAATGCAGGCTTATGTTTTAGAGGTCACTGAACCCGAGTCTGAGGTTTGTTTACCCCTACCATACACCCTAGAGGTCAATCAAATACTTCATGAATGACCTCTAGGGTGTATCGTAGGGTAAACAAACCTCGGATTTGGGTTCAGTGACCTTTAAAACATAAGCATGAAATTTTTTCAGATTTTTTGGAGGTCATTTCTTGATTTGACCTTCAAATCGCCTTGAACCTGATGTGATGGATGGATGATTCGTGATCAGCGACCCAAAAAACCCCTATATACCTTAGTCCAGGGATGCACATACCGCGGCCCGCGGGCCGCATGCGGCCCGCTGTCGATGTTTATGCGGCCCGCCAACGAATTTTAAAAGTATTCTACTCGCCGCGCTCCGGTCCAAGCATATTATTACGAGACTAGAAATCTGTCGCATCAACTAGATTACAGATTCGCGAAACACGTCGATCCCCGAACAAAGTGGATGGTTCTCGATGTTTGGTAACTCGTATAAATACGACGCATCGCCGGCTACCGGGGCAGTTAAGTTTTGACTACGGATAAGCGAACGTTATACTGTTTGAGAACTGTAATCTGTGACGAGTAAATATTTCGTCGTTCGAACTTGGCTTTTACCGACTGTAACATATAATATTAATTTTGATATGGATAAACCAGGCCCCAGTAAGAAACGTAGTCGTAAGGTTGAAGATGAAAATCGACAGTTTCATGATATTTGGACCGAAAAATACTTTTTTATTTCATCGCATAACAAAATTGTCTGTTTAATATGCAAGAGTAGTGTTTCTATTCCGAAGGAATATAATGTGAAAAGGCACTATGAAACCCAGCATCCAACTTTTACCAAATTAACTGGCGAAAATCGAACGCAAAGAATTTCCACTTTACAACGGGAACTAATAGGCCAGCAATCTATGTTTACAAAACCAATTCAAGATGCTGAAACAGCCACTGAAGTTAGCTTTGAAATATCTCGAATAATAGCGAAAACTTGTCGGCCTTTTAAAGATGGTGAGTTTGTTAAGCAATGTTTGGATATCGCCGCAAAAAAAATTTGTCCGGAAAATGTAAAGAAGTTTGAAAAAATTCAGTTAAATCGGATGACTGTTCAAAGAAGAATTACCGCATTAGCAGATAATATAGAAGAGCAATTAGCTACGAAATCGAGAAGTTTTGAGTATTTTTCTATAGCGCTCGACGAATCTACAGATATAAGTTCAACTGCTCAACTATTAATATTTTTACGAGGTGTAACGCAAAATTTTGAAGTGAGTGAAGAACTGATTGGTATGAGTTCTTTGACAAGTCAAACCAGGGGAAGTGACATGCTCAAAGCTCTTCTAGAAAAATGTTCTATAATGGATTTGGATTTAACGAAAATATCTGGAATTACAACTGACGGAGCACCTTCAATGGTTGGAAGTACATCTGGGATAGTAACTCTGTTAAAAACATATTTACAAACTAAAAACATAAATACCAAGGAATTAATGCAGTTTCATTGTATTATACATCAAGAGGCCCTCTGTTCAAAATTATTGGGATTTGAAAATGTTATGAAAGTTGTAGTACCTACCGTAAACTTTATAAAATCACGAGGTCTCAATCACCGACAATTCAAACAATTTCTCGAGGATATTGAAAGCGAATATGGTGATCTCCTGTTTTACACTGAAGTAAGGTGGCTAAGTCGTGGGTTGACACTACAGCGATTTCTTAACTTGATTGAAGAAATCCAACTATTTCTGGCGGAAAAGAAAAACGACGTCCCCGAACTCGACAACCCTGATTGGCTGTGTGACTTAGCGTTTCTTGTAGACATCACAAATCACTTGAATGTCTTAAATACGCGACTCCAAGGCAAAGATCAATTGATTTCGCAGCTATACTCTCATGTTTCGTCCTTTCAATGCAAATTGAGTCTTTTCAGGACACAAATCAATTCAGCCAATTACGGCCATTTTCCGAACTACAAAAAAATTATGGAGAAGTTCAATAAAACTGACGTCAATTTCGCTCATGTTGAAAAAATTGATATTTTGATACAAGCTTTTGAAAATCGTTTTGTAGACTTCAAAAAAGTTAAACCGCTATTGGACATTTTCAGCAATCCTTTCAACATTTCACCCGAAAATGCGCCGGAATTAATGCAGCTGGAATTAATAGACATGCAAAATGATGATAATTTAAGAAACAAATTTAATGAAGGTAATTTACTCAACTTCTACCGTTGCGTTGATAAAAACGCTTATAAAGAGTTGCGAATAAATGCATTGAAATGCGCAAGCTTATTTGGATCGACGTATATTTGTGAACAAACGTTTTCAGTGATGAAACTTAACAAAACGAAAAACCGAAACCGTCTGGCAAATGAAAATTTGGAAGCAATTATACGTGTGGCTACAAGTAATGTGGAGCCAAATATAAAAAAACTTGTTAGTTCAATGCAATGTCATGCATCAAAATAATAAAACATGAAATATTACATTGTAATGATTACATAATTATTACAACAAACATTTTTGAAGGTTATTTTATTTTTATCATTGTATTTCATACTATTTAAAAATAAAAAATTTTGTGTTAATAAATATTGTTTGTAGTGGCCCGTCCTTGGCTTATATTTTTCCCGAGTGGCCCCTGTTCCCTATAAGTCTGTGCATCCCTGCCTTAGTCACTTCTGACAATTGTCCCTAGATCAAATGTTGACCTGTGTAATATACACTGTATGAAAGGGAGGAGGGGGGTTACGATTATATGTCCAAATGGATGATGCACGTTAAACGCTAGCAACAAGTATGTTAGTCGCTCGCAACTACAGCATCGCCAACAGAAAAAAAATATTAAAAGAGACTCACGTAATTCCTCAGCTTCTCCTTCTGCTCTTGTTCCAGTTGCTCTTTCCTGGTCTGGGCCTGACCCAGCTTTTCCTGGATGGTGGCCTCCAGCTGTTGATATTTGGCGGTGTTCTGTACCCTGACCTTCTGGACCTGCTCTTCCTGTTTGATGAGGCACATAAACATGCAAGCATCGGTGAGAAATGAAACGATGATGATGGAGGTGCAAAATAAGATAAAGATAAAAATAAAAAAACTACAAGCATGTCTCATTTCGCCAAAGTCTTAATTGGATGGAATAGAATAATAACTATGGAAGCGGCAATTCGACATACTTATGCAGTTTTGGATCGATGAAAATCTAAACACCGACAAGTTCGTTTTACCTCGTCTCTTACTGAATTGCAACTTACATGTTCCTTGAGGCGGTCCAGCATCTTCTTGATGTTGTCGTCGCGCTGCTGAGAAGCACTTTTCAGTTTCTCTTCGATGGCGGACCTCACTTCGTCAGTTTGCTGTTCGAGAGTCAGACGAGTTTTCTCCACATTTTCAATATGATCCTAAAAAGGTCCTTACTGTATTCTATGTCTTGACACAAGTTAATGTGTGTAACAATTTTCCAGTAATTTAACAAACATTGATGATGTGCTACGTAGTCAGGATACTATCATTGAAATCAGTGAGAAAAGATAATTGTAATTAATGCAAATGCAATACAAAAACTATTAAACAATTAATTACTTTATTAAAAACAATTTCTAGATCGCTGAAATAGCAAAGAAAGAGGTTTGATTGCACAACTCTATCTAAAGGCGGGTTCTCATTAGTGAACTTCATTGATCAGAATTGTAGAATCTATGCCGTTGAAATAAAATGGATTCATGTAAATATCCGTTCAACACTATTGCTTAATAATAATGGGGCATTCCACGCCAAATCGACCACTTTTAACCCTGACACCTTTCGATGTGGCTGAAACTTTTTTATTGTTTTCTACTCCATTGAAAACCACAGAATTTTTTTAAATTTTTTCTCCCAACCCAAAAAAAGTTTTTCAAAATTTGAGTTGTTGGGACGTTATTTTTTCAAAATTTTTAGTCGTTAAATGTATTTTTTGAAAAAAAAAATAAATCAAAATTATCTGGACCTATCTCCACTGTTTTTTTTCAATTTTCGAAAAAAAAAACAAAATTTCTCGATCACCATTTTTTATTTTTTTATTTTTTTTTTCTTATAAAAAACTGACATTTTTTATAAATCCTCAAATTTTTTCAGTTTTTTCCCAAAATTGAAAAAAATATATATAAAAAAAATATTTGTAAATGGTAAACATGAAAAAAATTCGATTTTTATTTAAAAAGTTAAGAAAAAATAGATTATCGTTTTGAATAAGTTTTTTTTTTTTTGGAAATTACATCGAAAAACAAAGAAAATGAAAAAAAAAGTTGTTATTTTGGTCCATTTTTGGACAAACAGTGGGTTTTAAAAAAGACATGCAACACAATTGAACTCAAATAAATCATTTTGAAACCATCCTCTTTTGATTTTTTGAAATTGTCATCAATCTGCTGCATAGAATAAATTTTTTCAATGTTGGGATTCTATATACATTTTCAAAAATTTTCAAAATGTGAAAGCTAAATTTGAATTTTTTTTTTTCAATCAATAAAAAGAACTTAAAAATGAAGACACCACCGAAAAAATTTGGATTTATAAAAAATGTCAAAATTTTTTATAAGAAAAAATTTTCAAAAATGGTAAACATCGAGAAATTTTCGTTTTTTTCGAAAATTGAAAAAAAAACTGATAGGTCCAGATAATTTTGATTTATTTTTTTCATAAAATACATTTAAAAACAAAAATTTTGAGAAAAAAACGTCCCGATAACTCAATTTTTTAAAAAGTTACGATTATTTAAAAAAAAGAACTATTTTTTTCAAAAATTCATTTTTTTTGGTGGGTGAAAAAATTTGAAAAAATTCTCAAGAGGTTTTCAATGGGGTAGAAAACAATAAAAAAAGTTTCAGCTAAATCGAAAGGGGTCAGGATTAAAAGTGGTCGATTTGGCCTAGAATGCCCCCTATTCAATAAAAGTGAGACATTTCTACTTTTCGTTAATCGATAGGACTGATTCAATTAAATTGAACAGAGAACAAGTGTTCAGTCACATTTAAATGATATTATGCGTGTTTTTGAGGTTAAATTTTTGTGTAATATTTTTTTTGCGCAACCTGTATCATGCACTCAGAGATGGAAACGAATCTCCTGTGGCTAAATATCTTAAAACTACTTGTAATTTGAGTCTTGCTGGAAGAGCGTCCTTCAATAAAGAATATTTTTTACTGGGGTGACATTTTGTGTAGAAGTTCTACAAATTTCTTTTTTCAGCCATGGTTTTTATAGGCATCCGCTAATAGTTTTACTGAAACACTCTCATATTTCCGTTTTAAGACCCATGATCTGACTCAGCAAAAATGAGATTTCTTTTTTTCCTATTTCTGATTAAGTTTTTTTAAATATTCACACGTAATACGAACGCCAGCAAGCGCAATTTTCTTTGCAACCATTTTTAACACCGACACTTTCTAGACTGTATATTCAATGTTCTTAAATTATGTGAACGAATTTTCAATTCTATGTTCACCTGAGTAGATTCACCGATACTGATCTATGAAGTTTGTGCCGCCTTAAAATTCTCTGATTAGATTTTATTTGGGAAATAATTTAACCTTCACAAACTAAATTAAATATTGATACATGTATTATAGCTGTTTTACATTGATTGATCAATTAAGTCGCTTCATCAAGAAATTGGACAAGTGTAATGCACCAAATCTGCTGTCAAATAACTTCATGAATTTATTCATCAAGTTCTTGACGAATTAGAGCATGTTCTAATTTTCGTCAATTTCTTCGTGAAGTTCGGAAGTACCAACCCAACAGATTTCCAGCCTCAGATCAGTAATGAGGTTATGTTATTGGAATATGTAAACAATTATGTGGCGTCGTACTAGTGTTCCATTATGTTTACTGATTTGTTACTTACAAACACTAAGATTTATATAACATGTGTCAAAACGGTACCGCTGTTGTATCACTACACTTATGAGTGGAAAGGTGACATCTTTGAAATTTATTTGCTTCTTTGATTCGTTGGTAGAACTGATTCATGCGTCAAAAAACTTGACAAAGTCTGTAGCAGTGTAAAACCACACTGTTTACCAATAAATTCATGAATTAATTCATGAAGAACTTCGTCAATTTATTGATGAATAAATTGTCAATGTAAAACAGCTTTTACAAAACCGATATACACAAAATCAAGAGGAAGTAAATAACCAAATGTTAAATCAAGGAATTATCACAATATCAAATTCACCTTAGTCATCACCTTGGTCCCAAAAGAGTCAGACGCCTCCGGAAAACAGAAACGTCTTGACTACAGAAAATTCAACAAATAGTAGGAGATAAACATCCTCTCAAATATTTCTGACTTATTAGAACAATTAGGCAAATGAAAAAATTCTACCGCAGACTGAAAACTCACCTTCAGTTTGGTTTTGAGGTCAGTGATGTAAGCTTCTCTTTTCTCCGTGTGGAGCTCCATTTTCTGTTCCAGAGCATCGCGTGTAGCAGCTATGAATTGACTAGTCTGTTCCTCCTTCTTGCGGGACGCTTCTTCGATCTTCACCATTTTTGCCGATAGAGCTGCGATTTTGTTGGATTCCAATTGCTGTAACAAGAGGACAAATCGTGATTTGCGATTTTTTGACGAAAGATATTGCGAGTACGGACCTGGCGGCGTTCCTCGGCCGCCTTGAGCTTCTCTTCGATGTCCTGGACGGACATGCTGCTTTTGGGGGAGAGCTGCTTCTTGGGAGGAGCTGTCTTGACCTCCGGCTCGCCGAGGATGACCTCGTAGCGCAGGCCGCCCCTGGTCTTCTCCTGGCACCTGACCTCGGTCGCTGCGAAGGCAAAAAGACCGTATAAATACCGCTAAAGCATGTCGTTACACTACAAATACACGTAAGCCAAGCCGCGTAAAATTAGTTGCACGTAAAAACAATTAAAAATAACTATTAATATAATGACGACGAAGATTAGTAGGATTATTAATGCTTTGCTGATAAATGTGTTCTCTTGTGGTCGCAGTAGCATATCCTTTTTACTTTTTTCAAGTATAAAACGTTCCACTATTAGTTTATACAAATATTTGTAGACCCACACAACAAACTTAAAAGTTATATGTAATGAAATATTTCTTGGTGTTCAGATATTTCTGATGAATTTACATTAAGATGTCGTGAAAAAAAGGAAGAGATAAGAACTTTAAAAAACTACTTTGTGAAAGAAATAAAATCTTGCCTTCTACATTTACCATACAGGGTGTCTACGGTATACCTTTATACGCGCAAAAATATCGTTTTAAAGACTTATTTTTTATTTTCGGGGAAAAACATATTCATGTAATTGATAACTTCCACGAAAAATTTCTTAATACTACAAACAAGCACAAAATTACCAATTCTAAAGTACTACAGAGTGTTTTTATAATGCTTGCATGCATCTTGATGTATTTAATAGTAGATCAATGTGACTAATAAACATTTTAATGCAGTCCAAAGAACATGCAAAAACTGTTACGGAATAGTATTTTTTTTTTGTACACACAATACATATTACATATTTTCATTTCGACACAAATTATTCACGGTTGGCAGTTATGTTCCATAATTATAGGGCGGTTCTCTTCTCCCACTTTGCAGGCACATTCATAAAAACTTTTCCGCAAGCCACCCCATCAATTTAAGTCGGTGTAAAGAGGAAGTGGCAAAATTGAGGAAAAACGGCAAACTCGACGACATCATTATTTAGAATGAACTGTTCCGTCGCAACGGAAATTATTTTTAGGGGCATTTAGGGCTCTTGTTCATATAAAGGGTGTTTTCTAAGTTCATATCGTAGCCTCAGCAGGTTGCTCCCTTGGTGAAATAATGGTCTAAATCCACTAGTATCGAGATAAAGGGCGTTGAGATTTAAAAATATCGCATTTGTTTAAATATCGCTGAAGATTTTTGATGATCAAACTTTGAAATAATTTACCCAAATAAAAACAGGCATTATTGACGGCATTGTCATTAAGAATTTCGAAATTTCGACGCCACAGAGTGTTTTGGGAAGTACATGTAAATTGATAACGGTATTTCTCGAGGAACAATGCTTTTCACTTCAGTAGATAATAATTTTGTATTTAAAAATGAGCTTATCGCGCAGTTGAATACATAAATCCAAAGTAGGTAACTAAAAAACTATTTATTTCATAAAAAACATCTACAGAGGCACTTGAACAAATGTGGTACTATTTTAATCTTCAGTACCTACTCTGTAGTTTCTTCTTCTGTATCAAACTGAATGATGAGTTCATGAATGAATTTCTGTTACACAGATACGGTTAAATGTTGATAAGAAAAGGACAATTATACTGTTTTGCTTCAAAATATGAACTGGTTAGCCCCTCCTATAGAATCTTGACAATCTTGTGTTTTATAATCATGGTGTCAGTACCAATATGTTTTCTTGTCCTCCATATGCAATGTGTCTTAATTTTAATAGATAATTCATTCTATAGCCCAAACAGTCGAGCCGTACCACAGCCGGCCTCAGTCTGTTATTGTCGACCAAACTTGAGAGAATGAAAAGTCCGAACGGTGCGAATTCGCACTAGTGTGACTGTAGTGTGGCCAAATGTATCATATAATCTAGAAATAAAGTGAATTGAAATGAAAATTTCCGATTTTTTATCTCATTTTCCGTGTAGAATAGACTGGAACATTGTTTATTTAGTTACCTATTGTTAATAATTTTTTTTCATTAATAATTTAATTGTAACATGTATTTGTCAATGTTTATGGATAATATTGTTTAAATTAATATTTTTATACAAGAGTGCAAAATAAACATCAATTTACAGAAAAGGAGCTAAATATGACAACTTCAAAAAATGTATGTGTATATTCGAGATACCCGGAAAAATCGATATCATTTTATCAATATGGGGATTTTTTTTCTTAAAAATATAGACTTTGAACTTCAAAATCATGTTTTTACTCTTTCTCTAGCCATTATTTATTTAAAAAAATACGAATTAAAAGAAAGTCATATTTCGAAAAATGTTTTTTTTTCAATCGAATTTTTATTAAACAATTTTTCAAAACTAATTACATCATGCAATTCCTCAGAAAATTTGACCCGTTTTGATACACATGGTGAGTCATTAATAATGGTACACAGCTTAATGGCAGATTGTTAACGTCAAAATATAGCGATTGAGCCAAAAATGCCTTAGTCAATTGTTGCTTCCTCGTCCTTCTACAGGGTGTTAAAGTTGAAAAATTATTTTTGATTTTTTGCTATATTTTAAGTATGTATGGATCGATAGTTTTGAAAACTTAGTTCTACATTTTTTGAGGTGGTAAATATGAATATGTTGGGGTTACGTCTAGGGGGCGCAGGCGCTAGTTATACTGTTCTATTAACGTAAAAATATATCCAACTTTTTGTATTTTACAATTTTAAATTTTTTAACTAGATATTATTGAACTACGTTTATCGATTTGTAACAAGTATACCCTTTTTATTTAGAAATGAACGTAATTCAATAATTTCTAGTTAAAAAATTGTTTAAAATGGTAAAATACAAAAAGTTGGATTGATAGGACAGTATAACTAGCACCCCCTAGGCGTGACCCCAACACTGTGCATATTCGTATTAGCCATCTCAAAATACGTAAAACTACAAATTTTCAAAACAATCGGTCCATACATACTTAAAATATAGCAAAAAATCGGAAATAATTTTTCAACTATAACACCCTGTAGAAGGAAGAGGAATCAACAATTGACTAAGGCATATTTGGCTAAATCGCTATATTTTGTTAAAAATCTGCCATTAAGCTGTGTACCATTATTAATGACTCACCCTGCATATACGTTGTTTTCGTTAACAACTAAACAAGACATCCAATTCCAAAATCCCAATTCGCACTAGTGTGACATTTAATGTGGCCCACCCCAAATGTAACCTTTGAGGATTAAGTATTTTTATTATATATTTTAATTATTGCACTTATATCATGTTATTTAACATTTTCTGTATTTTGACATTTCTCTAAGAATGTTAAAATCCCGTCACACCTATAGAGCCACAGAACAGAGAAGAATCTACTCCTTTTCAATATGGTTGGCTTGCTCCAGGTTACAGTTCTTTATCCTTTTAAAAATTATTTATAGAAAAATAGAATTAACTTCTATTACACTTGTATCATGTAAAATAGTGAATTATGAAAATTTTTTGCACAATTTACTGGGTGAAAAATAGATAACTGAAAAACAAGCAACTTTAACGAAAACAATTCAATAAAACTTGTGCGAAATAATCTATTGTTGGTATAACACTTTCTCATCGGTAGAGAAATGCCAAACCAATTTAGGAAACTCTGGAGTAATGTTTTTACGACGCACCCAACAGCCTTCGCGCTGGAACCAGATGGTCGCGGGCGGTGGAATAGCCGCCTCCCGTCGTTCCTTCATACTCCCCGACATGATCCCTTGACACGGGCCCGTTCCGCAGAGCAGATGACGCTTTCTCTTTCCTCGCGGCACTCCCGGAGCGCCGGGTGACGTCACACGGCGGCGTGTTCGAGGTAATGGCGGAGGCGCCGGTAACGCGGCGTCTCGGCGTGTTTTCCACACAGACTTCCCGGCTCCGGCCCGAGGGGGATCGATACGGCTCCAGGCAACCGCCCGCGCTGCCATCAATTGTTGATGAGGTCCCCGGAGAAATATTCGGGGCCCCGCGTCCGCCGACGTCGGTTATTTATGCGGGGTTTACTGTCTCGTCAAAATACACCTCCCGGCATCGTCTGGTGAGCCGCTACACCGAGCAACGCTTTTATATACTTTTTTTCAGGAGAAAAGAAAGTACACTCTATGTTTATTAAATATTTTCCAGAAACGAAGAGATTAAAAGCACTCAAAGCATTTGTGACGAATATTTCGTTGCAAATACTCGCATAAACTTCGAATATGCTAAAATATTCAATTGAAAAAAAATAAGTAAGCAGAAATCTATGAGTAATTTTTTTAATATTCCTATTTATTCCTATGAATTCCATACATGAGTTATGAAAGCATTGTGCTGAATATTCATTGCAAATATTCGCATAAGCTTTGAATGTTTTAAAATATTAAGTTTACAAAATTATAAAGAAAATAAGTTGGCGAAAATATCTATCTGAGATTGTTTTTTATTTTAATATATTTCTACTTCGCATTCTGGAAATGAGCCAAAAAAAGCAATGTGACGAATATTTCACTGCAAATATTCGCATAAACTTAAACTATTTGAACATATTCGATTTACAGAACTGGAAACAATTAAGTAAACGAAAATATCTGGGTAAAATTGGCTCACAAAAGCATTGTGACGAATATTTCACCGGAAGTATTCAAACAATAATTCGATAATTTGGTATAGGCAACTTGGAATAATCAACTTCGCAGAAGTACCTGATATTTGTTTTTTACTCTATATACGAGTCATAATAACTGTGACGAATACTTCATTGCAAGTATTCGCATGACTGAAAATTTTAATTTGTCAATTTAGGAAACTGGAGACAGTCAAGTTAACAAAAAATATGTGTGAAATTGACCTTACTATTTCGTAATCTATAAATGAATCACAAAAGTTTTGTGTCGAATACTTCACTGTGTAATCTTCAAATATTTTAGAATATTCGATTTAGGAAAATGAAAAATTTTAAGTCAGCATAATTGTCTTTTTTATTATCCTTCCATTTTGCGAGCTAAGTCGTAAAAGCATTGTGACGAATATTTCACCGGAAGTAATCACATAATCATCGAATATTTGAAAATATTCGGCATAGTGAACTTGTAACAATCAAGTTAGCAGAAATATCTGTAAATATATTTTCAATTATTTCATTTTGTACTCTATAGATGAGCCGTAAAAACAATGTGACGAATATTTCACTGTAAGTATTTATAATTTTGAAATTTTTATCACATTCGGTTTAGATAATTGGAAACAATCAAGTAATCTTTTCTATTATCCTTCTATTTCATAGTCTATAAATCAGTCGCAAAAGCACTATGTCGAATATTAACTGCGTAAATTTCGAGTATTCGATGTAGGAAACAGAAAAACATGAGTTAGCACAAATATCTAAGATTGTCTTTTTTATTATCTCTATTTCGCACGCTATGCCTACATGAGTTGCAAAAGCATTGTGATGAATATTTTACTGCAAATATTCACTTAAACTTGGAATATTTTAAGATACTCGATTAAGCCAACTGGAAAAAATCAAATTAACAGTAATATCTGAGACTGTCTTTACTGTCTGTTTATTTTGTATTCTATAAATAAGATGCAAAAGTATTGTGACGAATATTTCACATGGTAAACACTGAAGATGATGTATGAGATTATCTTTTGTACCTTTCTATTTTGTACTCTATAGATAGATGAGTTATTAAAGCATTATGACGAATATTTCACTACAAATATTCGCATAAACTACGAATAATTTAAAATATTCGACTGTCTCGAGGGTTGTTTTATAACCCACACCTTGTTGGTGATCAGAATTAAGAGGTCGCTGTAGAAAATTTATGAACTCCGCCAAATATATCATAAATGAGTCAGCCTCTCGACAAGGCCCGACCCAATATCCATCTATTAATAAATTTCAAATACGAAAACCATCCCGTTAAAAATTCCAAAGGTCATAAATCAACCCACATCGATTTCCACGGCGTAGGCAATGTCAAGGGCTCGTGTCGAGATAATAAAAAAAACCGAAGCAAGTCTCTAATTAGGTAAGTAGCAGGAGATAACGTCAACAAACAAGCCCCTTAACGCTTAGCGAACGCGTATTCAGAAGTTGCGCGAAAAGCAATTTCGCTAATGCACATTTACATGTGTACCGAGCATAATTGAGTATGAAATTCACCATTAGGTCACACTGTTAGGCGACGATTAGTATAATAGGGTGCCGTCAAAATACCGGAAAGAAAATAAAAACACAGACCGTCTGACGCGATAGGGTTCTGCGAAAAATGCGCTGGAATAATGAAATTTCCACAAAATCCATATTTGGAGCGGTTCCAAGCAACTCTCAATGGATTTTTGCAATAAACTAGGCGAAATAGATATGAATTATGTATTTGACCGAAAATGTAAAGAACATTATTAAATACACGTTCAATAATAGCAAGTTATATTACCTATATATAGGGGGAGTGAAGTTTCTTTTTATAATTATATATATCCCAACAAAAAAATTCCTATGAGATTCTTTTTAAGTGAAATGCATTTGAAAACCCCTTCACTATGCCGTAGTTTAATATGCAATAATTGAAAAAATGAGGAATTTTCGTAATTAATACCTAAACATCAATTTTAGACAGTTAAATTTAAAAAATGTTCATCTTCTTGCAACAGCATCGTTTTCTCCTGACAAGAAATAGGCTCTAACCATATCAACCCTTTCTTGAATCGTACTAAAACATAAACGTAACAGAATGAAGAAGTAATGTCGTATTTGGGCGTACCCGTTTTGCAAAATTAACATGGCAGTTTATTTTTTACCCGTTTGCCATCCCGTCACATCATGCCAGGTGTGAAATCAACTAGCAGTAGCGGCATTTCAGAGACGGCAATATAGCATCGGATTCTGTTTAAATTTAAACTGATCACGATTTCATTTTGTTGCTGTTTTATTTACTGAGGATTAATCTCGTATAGTTAGCAAAACTACAAAACTAGAGATTATTTGATACTATTATTTGTAAAAAAAACTGACCCACCACTTAAATTTACACCCCGTACAAATCGTAGCAAACAAAATATTCAAGAAATAAATATTGCCGAAACAATTAAAGATTTTTTTTCTAATTTTATCTGTTGTTTTTTCTGGCATGATTCTTAAAAACGTGAAAATCTCATGGAAAGAAAATAATATTGCCAGTTCTGGGTCGTGTTTCTAAGACCCCTTAAGGAAAAATTTGAGGTCGACATTGATGTGTGTCAAACCTGGATCCGCAATGCGTCTAGACAATTTCAGCTTTTAAGACAGCTGTGTGGTATTTATGGCAGAGTGCCACACGAAAATTCCCTCGAGCCTTGAATTTCGTTTTATTTCTATTTTCTGATAGATCGTTCCGCTGTCGATGATATTCCGTTAAAACTTCCAGAACAGAGACGTTCTCACGCAAAGTTTGACCATCTTCTCCGCAGTGTGAAAGGGGTAATATTTATTACGTTCTTTGCTACGGAAAAACGCAATAAATTTAAACAATTATGCCGTGACTTAATGGGACAATTATTCAAATAGGATTCCGATAATAAATTGGCAATTTTATCAAAATAAAAAAGAACAATCGTAACCTATAAAGTCACACGAACAGGCATAATATTTATAGATTTTGGGCCATATTTAATGTGATTTATATTTTTATTCAAATATGACGTAATACACGTGGTATACCTTATTAAAAAATGTAATTTCATCAAATAATATCTCGCAAACACAATTTTTATTTGTTCTAGTTTTTAGGTCATTCAATTAATTTTGCAGATTCAATAATAACGAAGTTAATCATTGTGGGAATTTAATTTGGATCACCCTGTACTACACAACTCCCTTTTCCGGCAATTTACAGATATACCACTGAACCCTGCGATATTTCCTTTTTCCGGACAGATATTTTTCGTCCGGGGGTTGTTTTTAGACCGGAAGTTTCAGGTTAAAAAATACATCCGGTATATCTGCCCCCATTTGACAAAGCGGACTTGAAGTCAGAATAACACCAATGCCGTTTTCAATTTTCTTTTTATTGGAACGGAACCGAAAAATGTAAGCATATACATACAGGGTGAGTCAGTTTTTTGTTGTAGGATTTTAACAGTTGATAGAGATTCATTTTTTAATAAGAAAAGTTCCTATAAACGTAGGTCTTAGAACGCTTCGTTTGTGAGATATAGGGTGTTGAAAACAAACTTTTTTTAAGTTTTCTTAATATCTCTAAAAGACCAACATATATTAAACTGAAATTTGCTATTAATAATACATTAGTTATGTTGAATAAAACAAAGATATCTGTTATCCATTTCACCCACCAGTGACGTGCCTGAGGTGGGTTACTGCCCCCTTTAAAAAAATAATTCGTACGCCCGTGGATTTTTCTGGAAAATAACATCATTTTAAAATTTTTTAATCAATTCTGAACAAAACAGCTCTCTTTCAATTTTACCAATATATGTTGGTCTTTTAGAGATATTAAGAAAAATTCTTAAAAAAAGTTTGTTTTCAACACCCTATATCTCACAAACGAAGCGTTCTAAGACCTACGTTTATAGGAACGTTTCTTATTAAAAAATGATTCTCGATAAACTGTTAAAATCCTACTACAAAAAACTGACTCACCCTGTATAACATAAACATATAAATGAGCATTTACATTTAAAATTCGTGAATCGTGCAAAGGAAGGCAGATGGCACTTTGCCAATTTTTTAATACTGCCAACTACCGGTCTGAATCAGACACTGCAGTAGAATTCTAGTGAATACGTCTACAATACAAAAAATGCAAGTGGTTGCAGCGTTCTGCATTCAATATATTGCTATTGGACGTTAAATATTCTTAGGTATAAAATTAAAAAAAGCAAAAAATATAAATGCTATATAATGCTTTAAATAATAAACCTAAACACAAAAATTTAAATTTCAACGCTACAAAATAAAATCCTCTAAAAATGTACGAGTAAAAAATAAACCAAAAAAGCTAAAGGGTATACTGTAGTTTCTACTTACTAACAAACTGTACCCTTTTTGGCTGGTTCGCTATCGTCGTCCTTGGTTTCGTTTTTACCTTCGTTATTGGAATTTGTGTCCTATGAACTGTAAAAATTCGGGAAATACTGATTTTACAACAAAAACACTGTATTCTCTATCAAAAAACAATCTTTCACCTCAATTACACCTAAATATTCGCACAAAATCATTATTATCCTTCTCGTTCTGTTACACCAAGAGCGAAGTCAATTGGATTCAAATCGGGTATACCTCGTGTATATCCCACGCAAATATACTTAAAAAAATATATTTACAAAACCGAATATGCTTTAAAAATGTACCGACTGATCATAATATTACAGAGGCGATCTAGCTGGATGATACGCGTGTAATTTTATACCAGCCGTCCTTAGAACAACCGCAACAGCGGTGTCAACAGCCTGGAAATGGGGGAGATGGGGGGATGTCTTAGCAATAACGTGATACGGATGCCGTAGAAGTTCGGCAGACCCGCCGTCGTCAAATCCCAATTTATGTCCCGAAATTTGGGGGAGAGGAATAATTTAATGCCGCAGACAAACAGTTGGGTAATAACGCTGCGGAGAGATGGAATAGTATCTTCCACACCAAAGGACGCCTCCCGAAATCGATACACGGTGGTGCTATTCTGCTGATGTCCTATAAGTTTTTTTTTGTTTACACAATAATTTTATTGACTTTAATATATCGCGTTTGCACACCCTTACCCATCTATTTTCTTTGGGATAAGTTCTGAATCATGCTTGTACATCTAATTATAAATTAAAAATCAATCAAACGATATCAGAACGGCACCAACTTTCCACAGGTACGATCGGCGAGCAATCACCGGTAACGATCCCGTAACTTTTCTACAGCCGATAAAATCTCCACCGATTCACTTGATATACTGTTAACAGCCCGAAAAGTCGTTAAGCCGGCCCATTAACTCCGCCTAACAATAATTATAAGAGAGTGTTAATGGCGCCCCCTTCCGAATCCCATTCGGAGTCTCGCTTAATTGGATCCGACGAATTTTTCAGCTCGGTCTTATGTTTAATTTCCGAAATTCCGTGGAGGAGAAATCCAGGTTAATTTGACAATTTTAGAGTCGGTAATGGACGGTGATACAACTGGGGGAATTTACAACCTCCCGTTTCAATTCTGTATATTTATTATTTCAGAAAAAAAAACATTAATTTATACGTGGTAGTTCAACAAAAATATTTTTTCCTATATTTGGTGCATCCTTAAGCAATTTTAAGCAAATTACAAACGGCAGCTATACTCTTGCTCTTCTTGTTGGTCTTGGAATTAAATGTTTGGTATTTCTTTATCACAAAACGGGTAAACACCAAACAATGAACAAAAACATGTTAAATATCTTACATAAATCTTTTGAAACAATTGAACGACCGTATTTAAATTATTAAGTTTAAGTAATTATCTTCTTATAGAGATACAACAAAAAGACATTACATCATCGGTCAAATCTGAAATACATGCCAAAAAGGAAGAGAACTGGAATGAAAAATAATTTTTTCACATCATACATTTATATCCTCCTTTACCTATTTGGCAATCTTGACAATAACGCAAACATGGAGTAGTTCAATGACTCATCTGGCCGAGGACAGTGTCCTAATGTAATGTGAATCGTTTAGGAAGCTAATTTTAGTTGCTTTAACGGTTCGGTTCATTAAAATTGCGGATAGCTACTTTTTTAGGAACAAGAAAGTGAAGGTCCGAATTTAAATACTTGTCCAAAATATAAAAACCGTTGCCAGAGCATTCAACTTTAAGATATGTTTGCATTTATAGGTCACCAAAAAATACTTAATATGATAATTGAAATTATTTTTCATTTAAGATTGCGAGTTACCGCATTGCAGTCAAGTATGGAGAGTTTATTACAAGCGCGAGTAAAAAAAAAACATTCGAGAATATAAAACAAGTACATATCAACCAACATTATCCGAAAATACTTGCTTGCTTCGATATATTGTTAAAATTGGCGATAAGAATGACAATTACGATAAATTAATTTGACGTTTGTAATAAAAATCCAAAGAGGCCAATTGTCCAAACCTCAGGCGGACTTTGCTACAGGACCTCTACGGACTGATCATGGCATGGGATTGAACGTCGACCTTGGTACCTTGCAGTATACTAACCAGAAACGGAACCTGGCCTTATTGTTATTGCATTGCATAACCTCTATATGTCATAAATTGCACATTCATTTATTGTAAATAATCAGTGCTAGACAAGGCAAAGCCTAAAAGACAGTGATATAGACATCAGTTGAAAGAGGAAATTTTAAAATTATTTATCGTGTAAGGCAAAGTCGACAAAATATTACCAAGTTCTTTTTTTGAGTGTATTTTCCAAAATTAATGGCGACAAATCGTCCCGACTCAAGAAGAATCATTTCAGCAGAGAGAGAGAGAGACATCGAAAAACTGCGAGTACATGACAGCATGACAATATATCATCGATCTTTCCACGACATTCAATAACATCTCCCAAACGACGGCGCACGCCGCAAGAACGGATATTCCTCGAACCCGCAAGGGCCCAAAACAGAAAGTCACCTCGTGACAGGCTCTGACTTCTTTGTTCCCACTTAAAATCCAAATAAGGCAGAGACCGGCTTTGTGGTTTATTTGAACTGGGAATCGAGGTCGGCTGTGTCGTATTCGTGCTCGCACAAGCCACAAGTGAGTTTGCACTGAGGATTTATGAAAATAGAGCGGGACAGCGAGCGACGCGACGGGGAAAAAAAAGCGACGTTTCAAACGGTTACGCTTTAGGTAAAGCGACGTCGCAAATCCAATTACATCAAATGGAATTAGGGAAATAAGTTAATTTCAGATAATTTGATTACTTTCTTGTTAGCGGATCTAACGAGGTGTTCGATCTCTGCGAGTCGCCTGACATTGTCAATTATGACCCCGTTTAGCTTATTTATTAATTTTGTCACCAAACGTTCCCTAAAACACGTTTTTTTCTCAAAACTTAAAATAAAATTACAAAATTATAGAATTTAAAAGCACGTAATCGAGATTTTCAAAATAGTTTCTAAATCTACAAAACCAACATATACCTAGGCCGATATTTAAAAAATAGTGGTTGATCTACATTTTAATGTTAATAAAAACTTATTTTAGGTATAGCTTCTAAACCATATGAAAGGATATTGAAGGACAACAGACTTGAAGTTAAAATTACGGAGCTGTACCGGAAAAGTTCCTATTCCTTTGTACTTCGACAAGTTTATCCTATATACCTGTACATTTTTTTACTATTTCGTATAGTATACCGTAAGTAAAGTAGTAAAAAAACTATATATGTACTTGCACTTGTAAAAGTACAGTGAGAAGAAGTGATGCTATTTCTACTGAAATGAAGTATTAAAACATTGGCAGTTTTCCCTTTTGGAATACTGAAAAGTTGATTAAAAAGTGTTATAGTCTTTCCGAAGTGAGTTGAACATGTATAAAAACGCCTTGCAATAAAATTTAATGAGTTTCATAGGCGTCCATAAAAAGTTTTCTGCTAAAGGTAAAAAAATAATAATTTGTATATAATGTGTAGAAAATGTCTAATGTTCATTTGGCCAATAACATATTTTAATTATTTATGTCCTCCAACTATTTTATTATACTGATGGTAAATTTTGATTATCACATATCAAAAAACATGTACATTTTCATTAAAATATATTACTTCTCGGCAATACTGCACTGCACTGTTAGGCAATTTGTCAACAACTGAAATTTATGGCCAGTCGCCCAGTGCGGCTGCGTTTGTTCTCCGTTTACCAGCGCGCGTATTCTTCAACTGGGTGTATACATTTCTACCACCTTCACGTTTAGTTCGACCAGACCAGTATATGGGTATTTTTAAATAAATATGGGAACAAGTTTTTCAAATATTTCAATGCCGTGTTGCTGCGTAGCGACCAAACCTGGTACATACTGCCTAGCTCTTTAGTCTTCAATTGAGATCGGAAATACTATACCAAAGTTTAACTGTTAATTCAATAGTTAAGAAAAATGTAATGTGTGATTTTTCTCACTATTCATATACTTTCAGTACGCTACAAGAAATAGCAGAAAAAATATACACAAAAATATAGAAATTTTCTTAGTAGGCTTTGGATTTTTTTTTAAATTCTAAGCGACTGTTGGCCTTCATTGGTAGGTATATGGCGTGTATCAAAGTTAAGTTCATTTCAAACAATTAGATCGAAAGTTACAGTTACAACAAATTCTATCAAGAATCACTTAGTATATCTCTAAATGTTTATCCAAGATATTTTTAACTGGTCATTTCGCAACTCTATTACAGAATGTACACTTCGTCATGAAACACCCTGTATATAATATTTCTAGATGAATTTTATTATTAACAATTTACTTGAAATGGATATGAAACATGTAATTTTTAGAACCAGATCCAAGTGCATGTAAATTAAATATATTTTTAGATTTATCGATCAAATCACAGGATATTAACCTGCAACATGTGATTTTATGAAAAATGCTATAAATAAAATATCGAACAGATACGAAACAGACGAATTACATTACAGTACAATGAATAAAAGTCAGTACCTATATTAAATAAAAAAAAAACAGAAATACATTTCCACATAAAGCAAATTCAGTTAAATACAAGACGTGGTGGTCTAGAAAAGAGTTTCCAATTGATTATTTTGAGAACTAATATACGAACGTCGAAAGAGGTGTTACTAGATCACCCCGTAGGTAGGAAACAATATTAAAGCTAGCGTTTTATAAATAAACAAGAAATCGCACTATTAATAAGACAATGGTAGATTAACAAAATCCATCTAAATTATAAAAATGTTGAAATACATTCATTTTTCGCAGTAATATATACAGGGTGTCCCGAAATTCATACAACAAAATTTGGTCACAGATCCTTAAGGACAAATTTAGAGGACCCGTATTTTTTATTTTTTCCAAGTGGCCCCATCTTTCGGAGTTACAGCCCCCTGAAGTCCGCCTCTAAGAATAATATTTTTTTTATATCTCAGAACTCTGTTGTACGAGAATGAC